GTTGTAGCCACAGCTGCCCTGGGGCAGACTGACAGAAGCGAGGCTGCCATATCGCGCCATCGGCCCCTCTGGCCAACACCAGTAGGGGGTAGGGTGTCTTGCCCAAGGGCACAACGACCAGGACAGAGAGCCCAGGGATCGAATCGGCGGCCTTCCGATTACAGATATGCTTCCCAACCCCCTGAGCCCCGTACAGGTCACCACCCAGATGCAGTGCTAACACATAGAAACAACCACTCACATTCACACCTGTGGACAATTTAGATTCACCAGTCGGGCTTGCTCAGAGTGGTATGGCTGTAAGCTTACAGACAGTTTGTTATTCTTCAAATCATCATTATCTTGCAGATTTATTGTTCTATTATTCTGGACTCACTGACTCGTTGAGTCAGAGGGTTAAAGGTCAAAAGAATACGACACAATAAATATAAAGAAAACTTTTTAAGTTGTAAAACATTTGAAAATTTGTAAGCATCTTTCTGCAGTTCTGTAGGGCGTATTTGTTGGTGGTGCCTTTTAACATTATGTTGATGATTTACTGACACAGATTTGTTACATATTTAAATTTGATCATGTATTCTGTTATATTTTTGTATCTAAAGGCTTAGTGACTATATATAAGAAATACACATATACACTCACCAGTCATTTCATTAGTTCATCAGTTAACTCTTTTCCGGACAGTGTTGGGAACCTTTTTGGCTAACCATAGAGATGGTTGAGTGGGAAACCCAGTAGATTAGCAGTTTTTGAAATACTCAGATAAACAACCATGCCATGTTCACCGTAATTTAAATAATCTTTATACCCCATTCTGATACTTGCTTTGAACTTCAGCAGGTCATCTTGACCATGTCTACATGCCTAAATGCCTAGAGTTGGTGAAAAATGATTGGCTGATCAGATGTTTGCATTAACAAGTAGTTGAACAGGTGTACCTTATAAAATGGCCTGTGAGTGTATATGTAAGAGAATAACTTTTAGAATTTTTTTTATCATCTGTTTGTATTCAGTGTATTTGGTTCTTAAAGAGTACTTCAATTCCTTGTAATTGTTCATTCTTTCAGTGTTTCAGCCAAATCCTGAACTTCAACAGGTAACAAACTGATGAGCAGTCAGACTGCGGCATCCATTTCTATGTGTTCATGTTGCTACAGTAGAATCATTGTGGTGATTGGTTTAAAATGTCTCTATGTGCTGGTTTTCATTTTCACTCTGTGTTTTCAACTTGTGTTCATACCTAAATCCTTACTACTAATGTGTCCTCATTAGGATCAGGATTTGTGTTGGTGTGTGGGACTTTAGTCTCAGGTGTATATTGTTAAATGGCAACTATGAGAGAATGCATTGGAGATAATGACCGATGGAGACCGGGAACACCCCACAAGAGCTTCAGTTCTGGAGATGCTCTTACCCAGTCGTCAAACTATCATAATTTGGTCCTTCTCAAACAAGCTCAAATCTTAGGCTTGACAAAAATGTTCACTTGCTCCATAATATATACAACCCACTAACAGATGCTGTAATGAAGAAATAATCCAATGTTATTCACTTCACCTGTCAGTGGTCATAATGTTATACCTGATATGTGTATGTTTGTTCTTTCTTGAATCAATTAAAAGGAGAATCAAATAGACCATTACGGCAAGGCTGGGAGGGTCCATTTGGTAAAGTAAATCCGTTGGGCATCTTTCTTCGCCTTTAGACAATAATTCTGATGGCAAAAGAGCCAAACGGGACAGGCGAAAAAAAAAAAAAATAATAATTTGTGCACATCAGGCATATTAAGCTAGCACATTAAGCTCATAGATATTTTGAACACACATCCATTTCAAGCTTAAATTCGTGTCTTTATTTATTTATACTGTTTTTATTTATCATTACTATTTTTATATATTAACCGGCATCTTTGTGTGGACAGCAAATAATTTCATTGCACAGAGAAATGCTTTCTTAGTACATATGACAATAAATGCTTTGAATCCTTGAATGTGGTATAAATTAAATGTTTATCTTCAAAGAAGCTTCAGCGTCAGCATCATCCACGCCTGCAGCTGCAGCATCAGCATCATCCACGCCTGCAGCTTCAGCGTCAGCATCAGCCTTGCTTGGTCCAGCCTCTGCGTCTTCATCCTCGCCATTGCCAGCAGTGCCAACACCTGCTCCAATGCCTGCAGCTTTTACACCGTCACCTATAGCGTCACCATCCGCAGCTGCCACGCCGCCGTCTGGTCCAGATCGGCTTGAACCACCTCGCCTTTGCCGGCCACTTTCCAGGCCTTTAGCTGGATGTCATCGCCGTCGAGGGGGGCTAAACGAGGTCGTCGCCACCACTGCCTTCCGCGTGGCCAGCCTCCAGTTCTTTCTAGTGTGACAGATATATGTTTTACTGCCCTACTTTAAAAAAGAAACTAATACAAAAATATTTGAATTATTCTTTACTTGAGTAAAAGTACTAATAGTATACCAAAACTAAAGAAAAACTTTAAGTGAAAAACTCATGGAGAGGATTATCAGGAAAGCCTCTTTTGCACTCACCACTTCATTAGGTACACCTGTTCAGCTGCTTAAGTTAAATATCTATTCAGTAAATCATAATGCAGCAAATCAAAGCATTTAGGTACACATGGTCAAGACACCGGCTAAAGTTCAAACCAAGCATTGGAATGGGGAAGAAAGGAAATTTAAGTGACTTGAACATGCCACAGTTGTCGGTGCTAGAGGGGCTGGTCTGGGTGTTTCAGGAACTACTGAATTACTGGGTTTTTCCCACACAATTATCTCTACGGTTTACTGACTTTACAGCTGAAAAAGAGGAGATATTCAGTGAGCAGAAGTTCAAATAACCTCACAGGCTCGTCTGTTTAGTGATCAGACAGAATGGCTGACTCCATTAAGAGCAAGGGAAAAGGAGTGCGCATATATTTTAATGATGACCAGTGTACATCTACAGACATCACCATGCACTGAACTCCTGATATTGGATATCTGGTACTGAACCTTGAGGTTCAGTACCTGAGGAACCTTGGAGTCATTTTTGACCAGGATATGTCCTTCAACGCACATATTAAACAAATATGTAAGACTGCATTCTTCCATTTGCGCAACATCTCTAAAATTAGAAATATCCTGTCTCAGAGTGACGCTGAAAAACTAGTTCATGCATTTATTACTTCCAGGCTGGAC